GCTAATTAGTGTTGCAGGAAGTCACTGTGTGATTATCATTGGCTCACCCAGTGAATAACACTATATTGCCTGCTAACTCTTAGTTACTGAACGTTGTTCAGATTCTGTTTATTGTACTGAGAATGTTTTAGCCAACTTGTTGCTTGGCTTTGGAAGTGTAAACTTTCAATGAAATTCCATATATATCGAAAAGGCAATTATTATAATAGTCTCTTTGTAACAAAAAAAATGATATTTTAAATTGCTCTCTGATGAAGCAAGGCCGTTTTGTCGTTTTCATAGTCAATGCATTAATACTTGAGCCCTTTAAAGGAACTCCAATTAATACATCGTGATGGCGCCCTCTAGTGGTAGCTAAAAACGCAAACATGCGCCCTCTTGAATTAATTACTAGTAATATAAATCGGATAATAGTTATTTAGCATGAAGTTTGGTATGTCCCCCAAAAGAAGGAACTCAATTTCAAGTTTAACTTGAAATTCAAGGGTATAATATCCCAACAAAGTACTTTATTTGTGGAAACAGGGATTTCTAATTGGTCACAGTGTGAGTGGACGTTGATTATAACAAGCCTGTCACAAAACACTAAGGAATATTATTTGTTAGCTTTATGTTGGCATGGAAGACATATTAGTATAACAACTGAAAAACAAAAATGATAGAGCATAATCAGGGAAATTCAATTGTTCCCCAAAGTAGGTTTACTTAACTACTTCTGGCTACTGGGCACCACCAAACAGAATAGGAGTAACCAGACATAATTTTTTCCGATCAATCTTTTTGTTTTTTTGTTTACACATCATACACTTTATATTGTATTATGATAATAAACTTTGTTTTGATGACATGTGCAACACAATGCAATATTACATTACCATGTACACTTTTCAAATGAACCATGTAGCACATATAGGCTGACTTTCTCCAGACAGCATTGTACATGATGACCAGTCAGACAGTTTAGTCAATGATAGGATTTGATTTGTTGAAAGAACCAGTCAGCAAACAAGCTGATTTCTGATTGGCTTGCTGTTAGGGATGCGTAGCCAATCAGACAAAATCTTCTAAGTCACTCTGACTTGGCTCCAACTTGGGTTTATTAAGTGACAAAATCATACAGATACAAATCAGAGAGGAAAGTGAAATTGCTCTTCACAGATATTTAATTGATTTTTAACACCACACACCTGTTTACTTATATAGGTGGGCACCTAGACTTATACAAATTAGACGGAATATGGAGTAAATTAATATCAAACGAATCCAACTTTATAATATACACTTTGTACTTGTTTTCATTACTGCTGGGAAATTCTGTTTTCCAATTTATTTATCAGAATCAGCTAGTTCGCACTATAAATATCCACATAATGGCATACGGTATTAATTGTAAAACTACGGTACAAAGTTAGGTAAAAGTATTCAACATATATTT